TATATCAGGAGGCTTTTTCTTTTAAATTTACAGGATACTTTGCTTCACAAAAGCATTCAAATAGTAATTTTCTGGTTCATTTAAAATTCAATATGATCTGCAAAAGGTATTAAAAGTGACACTATTGTTGCATCAAATGAGATTTGTCTAGATGCTTAATTTCCAGCAAGAGGAAAAGTTCCCAGCTCCTGGAATAAGATGGTCCATTGGTGGGTGAAACAGCTTGAAAACATGGTGAAGCAACTTCCTAACAAATTTGTAAAGTAATATTATAAGTAATAACTGTTTTTTAATCATAGAACCATCTACAGAGTGCTTTTTTGAGATTATTGCCCTTTATGAGTAAGAAATGTGAAGTTCAGTATGGTTAAGGAAGTTGCCCAAGACCACACAGCTAGTAAATGGCTACTCAGGGATGTAAACCTGAGTCAGAGTTATTTCCATCAACAGAATACTACACAGTAGGTAGCTTAAACGATGGGAATTTATTTTCTCACTGGTCTGGAAGCTAGAAGTATAAGATCAAGATATTGGCAAGTTTGGTCTCTCCTGAGGCCTTTGTCCTTGGCTTCCAGACAGCCGCCTTCTCAGTGTGTCCTCACATGGCCTTTCCTCTGTGTGCACACTCCTGGCATCTCTCGTACCAGCCCTATTCTATTTGGGCCCCACTGTAATGACCTCACTTAACCTTAATTACCACCATAAAGGACCTATCTCCACATACAGTCACATTGAGGGTGAGGATTTCAACATATGGGTTTTAGGGGGACACAATTCAGTGCATAACACCCCCCGAAGAGGCTTAGTCTAGGGTGCAATGGGGTCAGACTGGCCAAACATGCACAGGGGAGCAAGACAGCCTGGTTGGTGGGAACATCCTACCTGAGCTGTGCCCTGAGGAGCATAAAGCAGGTCTCAGGGATGGGGGCCTCCATCAGAAAGCCTGGGGTGCTTTCCTTGGCCTCTCATCACTGCTCACTGTGATGCATCTGGGTTTGCTTCTGGGTGGGAGAAGTGAGGTGGGCAAGACTCCTGCAGATGCCTGAAGGTGGTGGCTTGAAACACACTTCTTCAATTTACCCTCTTTGTGTCTTATGCAGACTTCTTCAGACTTTCACCCTGATGACCGAGAACCCTGAGGTGGCTTATGCAAACCAAGATGCTGTCTGGTCCAAGTTTAATAGTATCTTCTTCACAATCTCTGGCCTTGTCCACTATGCACCAGTGTTCAGAGACTATGTCTTCCAGGCACTGGAGGAGTTCTACCAGGACAATGTACTCTACCTGGAGCTCAGAGCCATGCTGTTCCCGGTGAGCCCACCTCTCCTCTCCTCTGCTCTGGCTTGACTTTCAGATGTTACCTTGTAGGTCTTCACAGGCTCCTAATTCCAGTATTGGGATAGGGACTGGATGCTGCCTTCATCTCAAAGGGGACATGTGTCCTTCCAGGGATGACCATGAGCAAGGAAACCTGAACTGTACTTGGCTGGCTCCCACAAAATTATGACCTTCACCCTCACTGCCCTTTTACCCCATCTTCTCTCATGATCTCTCCCCTTTTCCCCTTCTCCCGGATACACAGTGCCTCCCAGTTGCTCAACGTTTCCTGCCCTTGGGCTCTGAGCAGTGCCTCATGCCTGGACCTTTCTTGCCCTGTCTCCTTTCATATCAAAATTTAGCTTCCCAGAGTCCCTCAGGATCATGCTCTTGGTACTGGGACAGCTATTGGGTCTGGCAATTGGATCACCCTGGTAGCCTGGGGAGAACGAATTGCTGTGCGAGGGTCACCCAGTGAAAGAGGTGGGGATGGAGGCTGGGAGAGTAGGGAGACCACAGGTATGAGATGACAAGGCCACAGGCACAGTAGCAACGATGAGGAAGAGCTCGTGTGCTGGAGGAGGAATCTAGAGGTTTTACTGACTAACTCTGGTGGTGAGGACTCTACTGCAACTGGCTGGTATTCAACTTGGGTTGTCTGGTGGTGACATTGATGGTGACATTGGGGATATAAGAGGAGGGGCTGGATGGGAAGGGAGAAATGGTTTTAAACCTGTAGAATGGAGGTGCTATGAGACATCCCTATGAAGATGTCCAGGAAGTTGCTGAATATATGACTTTGGAACCCAGAGGAGAGAGAGTTCTAGCCTGGAAATACATGTTTGACATTTGTCTGCAGAAAGGTAATCTTTAAAACTGTGAAAGGGATGAGGTTCCCACAGAAGCTGCGAGATGAGAGGAGGAGTGGGCCTGGAAGGGGGCCCTGCACACAGACATCCGATGGAAAGTTCATGAAGTGGACTCAGAAGGAGCTGTTCTAAAAGTAGGAGACAACTAGGATGGCTTCCACAATAGGGGAGGCCTCACTCAGGAGAGCAGCCCCAGGCGATCAGATGCTCCCAGACCATTCCTCTGGGATATCTGTTAGAGAGAACTTCCCTGAGGACTCTTTGTGGGAAGGATTTGGGTATTGTGGGAATGGGAAGGATTTCTGAATCCTCACAAACATTGGAGATGGTTAAAGATTCTAAGACGCTTGGGGAAAGTAACCTTTGTATAGAGCTCTCCCCTATATTGTATCCTAACTAGTCTGCTCATTCACTGAAATATTTATTGAGTGCGTCAACACCTTGGTGACTGACCTTCAAGTTTGTGGCAAGGCCCTCAGGATGGCATTATTTTGGCTTTGTTACCATATTCCATGGTCTTTATAGGTTCAGAAATTGTATTGTTTGTACAGTCAGAAGTGATAGAGCTCCAGAGGACTGACACACATTGACCAAGTTCATAAGAGACAGATGTATAAACAAGAAAGGCAGAATGCTGTTTTTTGGAGAAAAATCAATCAGACCAGACACTTAGAGCTTCTTGATTGGTAAGTTCTCTCCTTGAAGGCAAATTGTAGCCTTTCCTAAAGCCAAATTATAGCCAGAAATGTGTTGTTGAACCAGAGCCCTCATAAGCCTGGTCACTGAGCTCTGAGAATTTACGGGAGTCCATGACAGTGTTCTTAACCTTGAGAAAAATCCAATGAATTCCTGGGTGGGGGGGGGGGGGGGGGGTGGAAAGTGCTCGAATAAGTTGACTTTATTGAAGACAGTGTTTTCTTTTTCTTTTTTAATGTTTTGTTTTTTTGTTTTTTTGTTTTTTTTTTTTTTTTGAGAGAGAAATAGAGAACACACACATGAGCAGGGGAGGTGCAGAGAGAGAGGGAGACACAGAATCCAAAGCAGGCTCTAGGCTCTGAGCTGTTAGCACAGAGCCCAACACGGGGCTCGAACCCATGAACTGTGAGACAGTTCTCACAGTCTGACTGAGAGACTGACTGAACCGCCTGGGCATCCTGAAGACAGTGTTTTCACATGTATGCCTATGTATCTATGAAACTTTCTAGGAAACAACATAATGTACAGATTGTGATATTTTTGCATTCTAAAATTTTTTAAAAATTCTCTGTGGGATTCCTAAACTGACTTTACTACCCCTAGTTTGATTTAAAGTGTTCAAGGACTTTCTAATGAAGGATTTACGTGTCCCAAGAACCAGTAATTCCAGTTTGTGGGTCAGGGCTCCCTTTCCCTTCTTCTGAGACAAATTTTCCTCAAGGCTCAACTCTCCCAACTGACCCACCTTTTCCCTTAGTTATGTTAATACCCTCCTTGAGGTTAGCTCAAGGCCAGGCCCTGGAGGGTCCTGGAGGGTGAGCTGGCTCTCAAGTAAGGGTGCCTATCTCCCCCAGGATCTGACGTTTGTTTGATAGTTAAAGCTTTAAGCACAGTTCTTGGGAAGTGGGAATGGGGCTGACCTTTGTCCCTCAGTAGAGCTTCCATTGGTTTTGGGAGCAGAGTACACAAATGATCCTTTTCCAGGAAGAGAGAGTGTCCAACAACCTCTTAAGAGAAGAATTTCTGTAAGAGATGAGCTGGCCCTGGGCCTGGCCTAGGTAAGGTGAAAGAAACTGCGCTTCCTGGAACAATTTATTCCCATGTTTTTTGACTAGGAAATCGTTCTGTCTCCAAGCATGCACTCCCCACCTGCCCCCCATCTAAGCCCCTCCTCCTGTCTGGATCCCACTTAGGCTGGTTTGTAGGTTGGCCAATCCCTCCTTCACTCCCTTCCCAGGACTGTGTCAGTCCATATGTCCCCTCTTTGTCTCCTGGTCATGTGGGTATTCAGCACTGAGCAGTTGTTGCCTCGTTATTTATGTCAGATCATGAGATATTTCAGACTGGCACCACATCTTATATTGCCAAGAGGCACCAAGAGTGATAATCATGCTTGTTGGTTGTGGTCCTCAAACTTGGCTGTTCATATGAATAATTCAGAGGTGCTCTTTAAAATTCGTGTTTGGACCCTGACCTCCCAGGGTTCTAATTCTGTGCTCTTGGGTAGGACCAGGAAGCTACAAAATCAACTAGCCTCTTCCTCTCCTCCCGGTGATTCTAATGCAGATGGTCTGACCCAGACCACACTTTGAGAAAAGGCCTTCTTTGCCTTGACCTTTACAAAGCACTTGAGGTGCATAGCAAGGTTGCATTTTACAGATGTGGAAACTGAGGCTTGGAAAAACCAGAGTTTGACCAAGATCACGTTGGTGACTTGATTGGGTGACTGGATAGATGCCAGGGTGCTGGACTTGAGCACTAAGGCAGCCAGGCTTCATCTCAAAAGGAGCCCCAGAGAAGGCATTCCGCTGTAAGTCTCATCCTTCGGTAGGGAAAAGAGAGTCCCTAGGATTGGCTGAGCTGATGATTCACCTAGAGTGCTGCTGGCCCCTGCTGGGGGCCAGGGGCGGGGGTTGCTTCCTGTTGGGCCATTCCAACAGCTTTCTCAGCGTGGGGCATGGGGGAGGTAGCCCGTCAAATCCTGGCGGAGCCCTGGGCTCCTTAGGGGGTGGAGGGAAAAGGAGGGAGGGGGGAAACTGTGGAGGGTTTGGGTCTTGGTCGGTTTGAGGGCTGTGACTTTCATCTTGAGCCCGATGGAGAAGCATTTAGGGGAAGATGCTGAGCAATTGGAGGGAGCAGTTTCCTGCTCCATTGCTCCCCCTTTTCTGAGGGGGTATTTTCTCCTTACCATGCTGAGTGAGCTCCAGGACATTTAACTTGGGGACCCTGCCTCGCTCCTAACCTCTCTTCCCACTCTGCCCACCCCCCACCATCCTAGAAGGTGGAAGGCTGCTTGGATTTGGGATTCTGGAGAGGCTGAGGGGGATGGGATGTGACCATTTGTTCTGCTCTGACCCTGGAACAAAGGCCTCTTGCAATAGAGAGTCTATGCCTTAATGCCCCCCATTAGCCAGAGTAGGGGGAGCCATCAACACATTAACAACTAAAAACCGTCTGCACTGGAATTCTTTTGCTGAGCCGCACAACCTCCCCCTTCTTGGTAGTGGGGCTAATTCAGGGCCTGGGATGATGTTGATGGACTATCCTGGCTGCTCAGCCTCCTATTGTGTTACTAATGCTTGATAACAAAGGCTACTTGCCTTTAGCAACAGTTGCTAGGCGGGTCTTATCTCCTGGGCTCCAGTCCCTTCCCCCACGGCCAGAATCTGAGGCCCAGACTGGGTCCTGGCCAGTCCTCAGAGTGGAGCTCTTATAAGACCCCAGAGGATTATGAACAGGAGATTGCCCTGCTGGTACTTATTGACAGGGGGTCTTGGGAGAGAGACAGGCAGTGGCAGAGAACCCACGATGGTTGTTCCCAGATGTTTTCTTGGATGCTGTCACTTGTATAACAAACATTACTGGCACTTCTACCCATCCCACCCGCCCCCGCCCCCCAAGGCTTTTCCTGGATTTTTGGCAGAGCCTCCACTGAAAATTCCACCTGGCTTGCTGCTGAAGTGACCCCTGTTTCGTGTTACTGGTATAACTGCAAGAATACTGACGATCGAGACTGGAGGGACCCTCTTAACTGCTCTCCTTTATAATAGCATTTATCCTACTATGCTGTATTCATGCTGTTTACTTCAAATCCACAAAATGGTAGATCTTAACCCCAGCTGTACATTATACATTAGAATCACCTGAGGAGGTTAAAAACAAACAAACAAACAAACAAACAAACAAACAAACCACCCCAGAGGTTCTACCCCAGAGATTCTGATTTAATTAGTCTGGGGTGAGACCCAAGCATTTCCCTCTCCCTAGGTGGTTCTAAAGTGCAGCCAGAGCTGAGACATTGAGCCCCCCTAACTGTCACTATCACAGAAAGGGAAAGATGGGCTGCTGTGATGACTGGAGACACTCAGGGTCAGCAAGATTCTGAAACTCAGCAGACCTCCAGCCCTCACTCCCACTGTGGAGTATGAC